GAGTGACAAAACTTTTTGAGCAACACATCAAATTTCAAGGCTGATTATTTTAGATCTTATCTTCAGGGAAGCATGAAGCAGGACACTTCCATTTTTATAGAAACGATTATATTAGATTTAAGTAATACCACATTATTATATGTTTACATACAAGACATTCCCAGTGTTTTGCTTAAACATTTTAAAAAGACAAGTGGTGTCCCCTCTAAGGATGAAACAGATAGCCTGTCCATCCCCTAGGGTTGTCATGAAAAGATGTGGAAAAAAATTTTTTTCCTGACCTGGGAATCGAACCCAGGGCCTTGCTCAGCTGACATAAGAACTCAACCACTGAACCACATCCTCATAAAATTTCTTATGAAAATATTACATAGTTGTTATGGCTTATATCTAGATGTTCCTCCAAGCCTCATTTACTCTTAGGTGGGGAGTTCCTGGATCTAGGGTGTGTGAATATGAATTAAGGATGTGTGATAACTAAATTAGCCCACTGAGTGGTTTAACATGATGGGAAGGCCTACCCTGGGTATAGGTAGCACCTAAGCTTGTAGCCTGGATAGGATAAAAAGCCAGAAGGAAGGCAAGTTTGCTGCCTCCTACATTTTCTGCCGTGGGCTGTTTCTCCTGTGCTATGTCCTATGCCATGCTACTCTGCCTTGAAACCAGCTATGGATCATGGACTGAAACCTCTACAAACTGTGAGCTAAAACAAACCTTTCAACCTGTAACTTGTGGTTATCAGGTATTTTGTTCCAGCAATGAGAAAATAACTAAGGCAACAGTATAACTGGTTCTAGGCTGGAGATTTAGCTCAGTAGCACAAGCACCTGCCTGCTGCAAGGTCATTAATTCGATCCCTGGTACTAAAAATAAAAATCAAAAAATCAAAAACACACACACAACAGTATAACTGGTTCTCTTTTGCAGTCAGAAGCATAAGGTTCTGAAGCTTTTTAAGGACAGAAAATAGTTTAATATAAGTTAAAGACATCTAAAATTGTCTTTATCAGCAGCAAATCTCTTTCTAGTCACAAGTATTGGGAACCTCAAATAAGTGGCCCAAGAAATAATGCTGATCTCTTCTCTACAATATATGCTTATTACCATCATCCAAACAGCAGAATCTTGCTTTGCTTTCTGGGTGTTTTGTTTTGTTTTATTTTTGGTTTCTTTGAGACAGGGTCTTGTTACATAGCCCAGTCTGCCCTTGAATACACTATATATATAGCCCAGGTTGGCTTCAAACTTGTGGTGATGCTCCTGCCTCAGTCTCCCAAGTACTGGGATTACAGGGATGCACCATCTCGCTTAACATTGCTTTCTTTTCTTGGCATTAAATTCACTTTCCCTTCTATTTTCCACACTTAACTCTGGTTCTTTAAAAAAAGAATCATAGCTAACAGATTTATATGTATTAACAGAACAAATAAAATACATACTTCTTAAATATAAAAATAGTTTTTTATCCATTTGAAAAGAAAGAATTTAATCATTATCTTTGCTACAAAATCATCAAATACATATATATATATGTAATCCTTCTCTTAAAAAATATAATCAAAATTGGGGATTTAGCTCAGCAGCATAAGCGCCTGCCTGGCAAGTGCTAAGTCATGAGTTCAATCCCTGATATCAAAAAAAGAAAAAAATACACACACACACATGTAAAATAGAGGGCTGTGAATATAACATTAGCAATAGAGCATTTGCCTAGAGTGCCTAAGGCCATGGCTTAATGCCTGGTACCACAAAACACACGCACGTGCACGTGCACACACACACACACACACACACACACACACACACACACACACACACAAAAGGGGCAGAGCATTTATATTTCACATATCTTTCTCTAGTTCCATAGACCCAGGATATCACTTCTCCCTTGCTATATTTATTTATTTAGGATAATTACATTGCCCTTATCTCCTTTATTTGAGATCTTTTTTAACAAGATAGCTTATTAATATGTTTTGCATGGTACTTAATGCAGCACAGGAACGCTGTATAAACACATGTGAGCCACATTAAATGCTTCTTGTTTATTATTCTGTGTTTACTCATCATTAGTTTATTTGTTAGCTAAGTCAACCTCATCTGTGGAAAGAGAGACAGTCTGGCACACGCAAGAACACAGGATTCAGAGATAAATCTCAATTCAAGTCAAGACACCCACTACTAACCAGATGGCTGTGAACAAGTCAGTTAACTTAGGCCTTATTTATATCCTAACCTTAAAATTAGGACACTATCACCTACATCTACAAATGCCACATTAGAGGATGAAGTATTTGTTAAGTTAGAACATCACAGATGCTCTGGAATATTAGTTTCTTTCTTCCCAGCAAGAACTCCTTTCCAGTGTCCTTCCTAGGTCTTCTATGAAGCTGGATCTTTCCAAGTATGCTCTGCATTCTCCATCTGCTTTCAAATCTAACCTGCCTCTAGCTCACATCTTCCTCTTCTGCCTTCACAATTTGCCCAGGACTATTCCTCAAAGGAGAGAACCTGGCAACAAGGCAGACACAAAGGGCAGCCCACACAGTTCTACCAAAGCACTGGCATGTAACAACAAGATCTTCAGCGCCAATCATGGAAGCCCGCACTGCTGCAGCTTGCTGCACATTGTCAGCAGACCATCAATGCAAGGCTGAGGTACCTTCAAATAATTCATGTGTCTAAACAGACTTCATCCCACAATAATCTAGATTATTGGCCAAAGTTAAGGGCTAACTTACATAACCTCTACCCAGGAATGAATTTTCAGGTGATAAGTAACAAAGGAAAATAATGCTCCCTTTATGATTCACAAGTATTCTGTTACAGAAATGAGGTATAAAACAATGATTGCCATTGGCCCTCAATATCCATGGGTTCTGCATCTCCGGAGTCAACCAAGAACCAGAAAAGAAATATTTGAAAATAAAATTCCAGGCTGCTGCACCTACAGCTTCCAGCTACTAAGGAGGCTGAAACAGGCAAGATCATTTAACCATGGCAGTTGGAGATGTCCTGCCTGCATGATCTAGAAGACCACATCTCAAAAAGAAAATAGTTTTTTAAATTCCAGAAAGATTCAAAAAGCAACATTTGAATTTGCCATGTGTCAAAGTACTACACCGGGGCCATGTGAATGAAACGACACACAGGCACACCCTGCTGGAGCGTCCCACCACTTCACAGGTCCTCAGTTTCTCTCCAGCACTTGCTGCTCAAGCATTGTTGCCCACATCAGACTCATGAACCATGTAGTAAGGTTATGATGATTGCATCCATACTAAATATGCATACTGTTTTCCTTGTCATTTTTCTCTCGGTAATATGGTTTTAACAACTACTTACATAGTATTTACATTGTTTTAGGCATTACAAATAACCTAGAGATGAGCTGAGGTATAGATGAAGATATGCATAGGTTATATTCAAATATACCACTTTATATAAGGGACTTGAGCCTCATAGGCTTCTGGATCTGTAAGGGGTCCTGAAATTAATCACTCATGATTGTATTTAATAAAGGAATATAATCTATTTTGTGTATCACATTTTTTAAAAAGGGGGTATAGAATTAAGTCTTAATATTAAAATGAAACATTCCAGTCAGTGCTGGTTGCTCAGCTCTTAGAATATGCATCTGTCTTCCTCTCTCCTGGGGACTCCCAAAGCATCATAGGACTCACAAAGAAGTACCCAAGTAATAGGCACAACAGGATAGACCATTACTCAGAGAATCTTTCGCAAGTGTTTTAATTATATCTTCATAGGGTACAAGCAACCAAAAGTTGTCCAAGAGAATAAACATTAGAGAATCCACCCCCAGTGCAGAATAGCGTGTGGAACCAGGGCTAGAATTTCTACTGTCCAGTGCTAATAAGCACTAAGGTCTCAGATTAGTCTGAGATTACCCAGGATCCTAATTGAAAGCTGTTGAGCAAAATCAGAAATAGCCACCAGATGGAGACAAAAACCACCCAGGTGACAACCTTGCTATATGGACTCTGGACACTGTGGATGAGAGCCCCAAAGGGAGTCAGGCTAAAGGCCCAGCATCATCTGCTCTTGGCTGCCTTCATATACTCTCTGTCTTCATATACTCTCTGCCTACTCAGTCCAGTAGGGAAACAAAGAGAGCATTCAGGTTTTACAGCCAGATTTTCTCTGCTGGCAGTACATGTCCCAGAGTCACACTCACTAATGGGCTGGGACAACATACCTCTTTTTTCTGTTGTAGTAAAAGAAAGCAAATATTACAGGTCTGTTATCTCCATTTCTTTTTTAAACCCCTCCCAAGGTCTCAGCACTTTGGTAGCCTCTCTACAGATAACTCAACAGCTCCTCTTCTGGACTTGTGTGACTGTTTCTCTTTGGTCTTTCTTATAGCCAGGACCTTGGTTAGATCTCCACTACCAGTAACGAAACAGGTGAGCATACAGTAAAAAAGAAGTCTAAAGGAAGAGATCTCCATTTTGCTAGGGCTGCCAGAGTAATGAGTGTCCACATCATAAAACAGCACTGAAATGTGATCAAAAAGGTTGGGAGAAAAGCACACTTGTATTATCAGGCTTCATCTGAGCTAGGAGAGAATTCTAGAGCAAGTCCTCTGCTGGGTGCTGAGTTGCTGAAACATCAAACATGTTGTGGTGTCAACTCCCTGAAGACACCTACCCTCAGCGCACAGCAGGCTGAACTCTGAGCTGCTTTTATTTTTATACTTTCAGACTTTCTAAGAGAATCTGAACTTCAGCTAAGTTATTGCAAAGCTCCTCCTTTGGTGAGCAAAAGTATTGAAAAATTTTCCTTACAAAAAAACTCACTGCAGCAAAGGACTGCTCTGAGGACCAAAAAGATTGTGATCAGTTTTACACTAATGACACATTTAGTTCGAGACATTCACAGATAAAACTATTGTTCCAATATACAAAATAAATTCTGTCACATCACACTCTGACCAAATCCATTAATTCTTCCTGTATTCTCCATCAGGGCTTACACTGTACCTGTATAAGTGACGGTTGTCTTCAAAATCTTCCTGACCCCATTTTCCCTTGATGTCTTCAATAACGTGATTTTTCAGGAATTTTTTCAGCAGCTGCACTGTTTGTTTTCGAGTCACTTCAGGACCGAAATTCTGACTGCACCTCAGCAGCTCATGCAGCCAGTCCACAGCCTCCGCTGCTGTGAAGCAACGCTCATAACTCTTGAAACGGCAGCGGTGTTTCCGTAAGGGCATCCTGGTCCGAAAAAGTTCCACTGTTTCATTCCACTAGGGCAAAAACAGAGAAAAGCATTTGTAATCAACTAATGTGTTTTTAAAGTTAGTGTATCTCAATATTTAAAGCAATGACTGCAATTTTTTATTTTTATTTTGTCTTTTTCGTTTTTATCGGTACCAGGGATCGAACTCATGACTGCACACTTGCAAGGAAGGCACTTAGGCTGTTGAGGTAAATCCCCAGCCCCGCAATTTTTTATTTTTAAAAAATTGCTTAAATAATAGACGAAAGATTGAAATTTATTTACAGCTTTCGGACTCTCAAAAATTTTGTAAAATAGATGACAGTGACAGTTCCAAAGCTGCGTGAATGCCACCGAGCTAAGCATTTAAAGTAATTGCAGGCTAAGGAGGCGGCTCAGTGGCAGCGCACTGTTGTAGCACACATAAATCCTGAGTTTAATCCCTACTATCACAAAAAAGAAAAAGTTGAAACAGTTTTATGTTTTGTACATTTTACCAAAATTGAAAAAATAGAACATACTGGTAGGAAAAAAAAAAAACAAGTCTAAAGAAAATAAAGCTTATCGATGGTACCTCATCATTTTTGCCTTTAAGAACTATTTTTTGAGGATACAGCCATCAAGTCACCTTAGTGATAAGTGTTCACATCAATAAAAAAAGACAGTAAGTAAAGGTTAAAAGTAAGTTCATTATACAAAATGCATCTCTGGAAGCCCCACATTTCATAGGACTCTTTCTAAAATTAATTTTATTGTACATTTTAGATATACATAGTGATCATAGTCATCATAGGGAATTTATACCTATACATGACATAACTTGGTTTTTTTCCCCATCTCCTCTCCTCCCTTAAACCTCTCTACCCTTCCTTATTTACAAGAGCTTTGTATCCATTTTTTCTCTTCAATTCTTTTTTTAATTATTATTGTCCCTTACTTTCCCCTTCCCCTCCTTGTTCGCTTCCCATTTGAACAGTTTCTTCTGATTTCCCAACATCTATTATACATTTTGGCACAGGACTCTGTTTCTTTCAGCACTTGTCTATTATGTCAAAGGCAGCCTGGGGAGAGAATAGAGGGGAACAAGGGAAAATAATACATGCCTCAAGGTAAAGAGCTCAAAAGCACAAAGAAAACCTTTCATAATAAATAACATCTTTTTGCTTATTTACAAGACAGCTTAAAGAATATCTAGCTAGAAGATACTTCAAATAACACACATTAATGTAAAACCACCTCCTGGTTCTAAGGGTTTTCCAAGGGAGGAATGTGTGACAGCACATTCTTCAGAGACAGCACGGGGGAACAGTGGACTGGGTAGTCAGAGTACAAGCTTTAAAGTCAAGCGCACAGGGTTCACAGGCCGGCTGCTGCTCACCAGCAGCAGGACAGCCTCACTCTTTGGTAATCGAGTCTGTGACTCTGGTTACAAAACAGGGGTCCAATAATAGGGTTGCTTCAACAATCAGAGACAGCTTGGATAGAAGCTTATTGCAGTGACTGTCCTACAGTAAATGCTTAAAAAACTTTAGGCATCATAGCATCCTTCCTGTATTTATCATCAGGATGGATGTGGCCATTAGCCATCTTTCCTGATAAGAATACGGGAAAGATCCCTGAACAGAGTCCCTACTGACCAGGGTTTAGTCCACCCTCTGCCAATAAGCTAGGGCCTTTCGTGCAGTTCACACTCTGCTATACAAACTTGTAGTAAACAAAAGTAAAATCTCCAAAGCTTAGAAAATCTTAATTTGGGGAATTCAAACTTCACAGAAATTAAAACAGGAGACACAAATTGTAAATAGCTAAGAGATGGAATCATATACTAATTTGACCCATTTCAATAAAATTAAGAGAATCGTTCCATTGTTTACAATTTATTTAAGAACAATTAAGAAAGAAAGAAAGAAAGAAAGAAAGAAAGAAAGAAAGAAAGGAAGAAAGAAAGAAAGAAAGAATAACTTTTCCTATGGACTGGGGACGTAGCTCAGTGGCAGACCCCTCAGTAGCAGACACCTTGTCTGGCATATGCAGGGACCTGAGTTCAAACCTTATCACCACAAAACAAAACTAACAGCAACAACAACAAATTCCTTATTGTTAGATGAGATGCGTAATAACTCACTATAATACATTGCTAGTAACAATGCTCACAGCACAATGATCCTGACCTTGAAGTTAAACACAGTAAACAAAATCATTCCTAAACAGTGAGAAAAATGCGAGGTATGGAGTCGACCTGGGTTCAACTGTTGCTATTTACTGTTTGCACAGAGTTTGACACAATTCCTTTTACTTAAGAAATCACATGAGCTACTATATCCTGTAGCATTCACAGCAAATGAGTCTCTTACAGTCACTTTAAAATAGCATTGTATGAATGTTAGACAACCACATTAACCATTTTTTATCTGGTAGTATGCATTAAAATGGTCTCCAATTTGTTGTTTTACAAACATGTTATATCTCAGTTATACATTGAAGCACCAGTTTCTCTTTATTTTTAATAAAATAATTTTCCAAAAAATATCACATATTGAAATAGGTTGTGAGGATTCAACTCCAACAATGTATCAGCTGGAGGCCTTACACTTCGCCTAACATTAGATGCTATTATTCTTCTCCTTTTTTCCAAACTATGTACAAGAAATAATAAGCTCATGTTCTATTTGCATTTTCCTATCTTCATCTCCAGTCACATATATTTTTTCTGAAACATTATGTCTCTGTGAGATTGTTCATCTTTTTTACAATCAGTTTTAGCAATGCTCAAATCTAGACCGTTAACAGCACAGAAGTCAGGGCATCTTGTTCAGTTTAGCAGAGCCACAACCAAAGACAGTGCCTGATATACACACATTTGTATTAATCCAAACTGAGTGAGGCTAGAGATATAGCTCAACAGTAGAGGGCTGGCTAGAGTACACCAGGCCCTGGGTCCGATCCCCATCACAGGGAGATGTGGGGATTAATAAATAAATAAGGAATAATAATCCTTTGTCATACCTCAGGAATATTTTCTCTTGGCCTAGTAATTACTTAATTTAATCTCAAATTATACGTATTACTGATGATATGTTGTTTGAAGTAAACCAATATCTCTATCATTTCAGGGTTGACCATTTTACAGTTTCTCCATTCAATGCATAAAATATTTATCAAAACTTTCTTTAATCTTTTATAGGGCTTCTTTTTTGGATACATGAGTCTTTAACTAGAACTACTTTCTGGCAGGAGATAAGATCTTTGATTTTCTTTTCCTCTCAATAGAAAATCAAGTATGCCTTTTTCTAAATGAATTGAAGAATGCTATTAACTTACTCTACATATTATTTTTCTTAATTCTGTTCCTGAACATTCTTTTCCATCCCACTAAGTTACTGTCTGTTTCCATTTGCTATCATGATTACAATTCATGCTATGTTTAAAGCTCCAGTAGGATAATTTCCCCCACAGGCATCTTTTTAGATTTCTTTTCTTCAATTCCTGTACTTTACTTTTCATTATGAGCTTTTTAACTCATTGCATTCTCTACATGAGAAAAAAAAGTCCCAACCGAGAGCGTAGCTCAACGGTAGAACATGTCATTAGCACGTTCAATCCTCAGTACCAAACAGTGTAAATAATCTCATTAGGGTTCTGGTTGGGTGTTCAACTGTTCTATTGAGTGCAAGTTTTCATTTCATATTACAAAATTTCTAATGAGATATTCTCATCAAAGGCTCATATTTCTTTTTTACTTTTTTTGTTTGTTTGTAAGGGGTATAAGGGCTCAAACTCAGAACCTCAGGCCACTGAGCTACATCCCCAGCCTTCATATCACTTTTTTAAAGCAAGAATTTATCAGACTCCTTGGTGCAGCAGACATCATGTCAGTCTCACAGAACAAAATTTACAAGTAATTAAAAACAAGAATTTATAAAAACAATTTTAAATTCATTTCTTTGTATTGTAAATGACATTTACCATGTACTGTATCCACATCACCCATGAGATAGTTATTCTAAATTTCAGAGACCAAGGAAGACCTTAGAGTCTGCCCTACTTGTTTTAAAATATAATTATGTGTTTATTTGGCTACTGTGCTCAGAAAGAAAAATAATTATGTTATCTTTAATGAGCAATATCTCATTAAGCCACTTATAAAAATAAAATGATCCTTAATCTTACATTAAAAAATGAGTTCTTAACAAGTGATTTTTCCCATAACATACTAAATTTGAAGATATAAGTGTTAAAGGAATATAACTGATTTGTTTTGTAATTTAAAAACATATTTTGCCTAACATTTAATTTACACTGCTAGTTTAAGGAAGACAGAGTTCACCTAATACAATACTTTTGGCTTTATATCATAAGCCAAATTATAAGGTATAATGCCTAGTGTTGAAATGTACTTTGTGTCTTTTTTCTAGGACATTTATTTCCTTCTTAATACCAAAAAAAAAAAAAAAACCCTCATAGCAGTAGTACTATAAAGACTGGCACAGGAGAAGGGAGAAAACTACATTCAAGATCCATTTGTTTTCACACCACTAGACATGTGATCTTACCTTGTTAGCAGATTCAAAGGGTAACTGTAAGTCTTTTAAAGTTTATAAGTTGTATTAAATCATGTTAGACCATATGAATGATTCAAAACAAAGTGTAGTAAAGAACAAGGTTTTAGTTTAGTGTTTTTGTTTTTATATTGGTGGTTTTGCTGCTCTGAAACAGGATCTTGCTGTGTTGTCTGGGCTGGCCTCCCAACTCCTAAGCTCATCCTCCTGCCTTAGCCTCCGGAGCAGCTAGGACTATAGGCACACGCCACCTCACTCAGCCAACATCAGTAGATTAGTTTTCAGAAGGATTTTCTTTCTCCTCACCTTCAAACAGTGAATTATTTATACATGAGCTACAAATTTGAAAGTTATTTTCATGAAGTAGTTAATGACTTTCTTCATTCATCATAATTGGATCTGTCATTTGATTTCTGCCATAAATATTTATCTAATCCATAAAATGTTATTTTCAAATAAGACTTTAGGAAATGGAGCAGTGTAGGCTCTGAGAAGATCTAGTGAGCCATTTATGAAGGAAGCAAAAGCCTGCTCTGTATACCAACAGTACAACAGAACAGGTACTTTGACAGTGAGCTAGGGAGAAAAGGAAGTGAAGAGAGGACTGACTAGTCACAAACTATGCTTTACCTGGTACCAGCTTTAAAACAGAACTGAGTCAGGACCAAAGACATACCTCAGTGGCACAGCACCTGCCTAGCAAGCACAAGGTCCTGAGTTCGATTCCCGGTACCAAAAAGAAAAGGAAAAAAAAAAAAAAAAAACACAACTGAATCATACTGGTGAAAAACAGATTTTACCTTTAATGATAGTTGCAATAACTAATATCAAGAATCTTCACTGTCAAAAAAAAAAAATGAATAAAAAAACGATTGTTTTCCACGTTTCACAAATTTTACTTTAACATTATGTTCCTCAAATGGAATACAGCAGAAAACTGAACTGAGTGCCTGGGAAATTTTAGTAAAATCATTTTCATTAACCATCTATGTAATTTTTGTTTTAACTTGGCCAGTCTAAACCTGGCTTAAATATCATTATGTAAGAAGTAAAAACATGTATAGAAGAGATACTTCTTTACAAATTCCTTTGATATTATTTCAGTGTAACTCAGAATCTAACGGTCTGTACATACGTCTTCTATATATATGAAAAGAGAGAACAGAAAAAAGAGACATACATCTTTTGCAGCTGTGAGGGGGACCAAGAGATGAAGAGCACAGGGGAAGAGAAGGGAAAGTAAAAGGAATTAAGATGTGTTATGTAACATGTACCAATCCCCCCAATGAATGTAATCATTATGCATGGCAAACATGCATAAAAATTTTAAAAATTTATAAAAAAGAAAGTGGCAATAAAAATAGGATGTATAGCTCATATACTTCTGTGAGTGATATTTATAAAAATTCCAGTTATAGTGCTATTTATTTTTTATTCTAAAAAAAGGATTAGTTGTGCCAAGGTCCTGAACCTTACTATTTCCCTTGCATAAGTACTATGAATAAGTTTTGGAAGAGGGCAGCATTTTACTTCCCTATAGGAGAATACGATAATTCAAGCGTTATCCAAGGTTTCATGATAAGCCATCGTCTAAAAGTAGAAACCTCCAAAAATAATTACTTCATAAGATTCTAGTCACACCCATCCTGAGTAGTGCAGTAAAATCTCATGCCATCCTGTCTGGGGTCTGAATCATCCCTCTGACCAGCATACTTGCACTGTATGTGCTACTCACGCATTAGTCATTTAGTCATCTAGATTATCAGAGTGACTAGTGAAGTAGCAAGGTGCTTGTATTCAACCAACCTTTATTTTATTTAATAATGGCTACCAGATGCAAAAGTAATGACAGCTGGCAACTTTATTAGAGTATTGTTATAACTGTTCTATTTTATTATTAGTTATTGCTATTAATTTCTTACTGTACTTAATAAATCAAATTTCATCTATGTATAGTATACAACAGAAAATATAGGGATAGATATGAATTGCAGTTTCAGCCCCCACTGGCAATTTTGGGTTATATTCCCCACAGATAAGGACAGACTGCTGATAAAATTTTTGAAATCTGTATTAAGGCACAATCTCTATCTCATCCCAAAAGGCAGGCCTACCAACAGCCTTGCGGCCGGAGCCAACTATTCAGTAGAAGCAATTATGAAAACACTACATTTTTCCCTTTCCCTTCACTGTCCAGTACCATTAAAGGTTGCATGAATCAGATCTGTATTTCCTCAACCCACATGGGTTGTCATCTCCTACTTGCTGGCTGCCTTTGAAGACAGATCTTCCCCAACATGACGGCCATCAAGAAGATGCTGGCCAGTGTGGGAATCAAAGTGGAAGGCAACTCGCTCAACTAAGTCACCAGGAGCTGAAAGGGAAAACCTCTGAAGATGCTATGCCCATGGTATTGCCACGCTTGCCAGCTGCCTGCTGGTAGGCTGCATCCATCTCTGCTGCTTCAGTTCTGCAGCTCATGTTGCTGGTTCTGCTTCTGCTGCAGCAGAGAAAAAGATAAAAAAGAGGAAGAATCTATAGAGAACTCAGCTGACAACACGAGATTTGACTATTCTAATAAAATTCCTGACACCCTGCAAATAATGTTTTTTCATCATGTCGGGAAAAAAAAAGAAAACACTATTTTCAAAAACTCTACTCATTACCAGCCATCACCACCCATACTGCTTAAGAGGCTAGCCCAAAAGAAAACCTAAATTTATATTTGTTGAAAAAATGAGTCATTTTGAGTATGCATAGATAGATTATTTGCCAAGATGAATGCAGCAATTCTTCCCACCCTCTTCACAGGCACCTCAGTCATGTGACTTTGCCACTCTGCCCATTATGAAGCAGAGATAATTTCTAGAATCTAGGTTTAGCTGCTTTACTTGCTTTGGTTAGTGAGATTTGAGCAGAAAGTCACATATTGAAACCATTCAGCTGGGCCAGGGATATACTGCAGCATCACAGCACCTGCCTGGCAAGCATGAGATAATGAGTTTGATTCCCTGTACCAATAAAAAAAAAAAAAGGAAAAAACCATTCAGGTACACTGGAACTATCAGACCACCATGTGCTGATATCTGAGCTAATGTGCCCCATACTAGACCCAAATAAAGCCAGGACCAAATCAAGGGGACATCTTACACCATCCAAATCCTAGTCAACTCATCAGATGTTATGGCTTGTATCTACATGATCCCCCAAAGACTCATGCAGTCATAGCTGAGGCTTTTCAGAGGTGGCTGGATCTAGGGTTTGTGCAGCTGGAATTAAGGACTGATTCACATGCTACAATGATAGAAGTAGGCAAGAATTAGGCTAGAATTAGCCTTGGCAAGACATAAGGAACATAAAGACCTGCTAGTCACTTGCTTGCTATTTGCTGCCTTCTGTCTGCCCAGCTTTGCCATGGACTGTTTCTCCTCTGTGATGTCCCTCTGCCATGCCTTAGTGTCAGATATCATGGACTGAAACTGCTATGCATTTTAAGCCAAATAAATCTTTCCTCCTTTAACTTTGGCTGTTGATTATTTTATCTCAACAATGAGAAAAGTAACTATGACACCAGAAAATCGTGACACGAGTGACCTCCATCAGAAGAACCACTAATCTGAGTCTAGTCCAGGTTGCTGGCCCATGGAATTATAAGCAAATAATTGGTTGTGTTAAACCACACACACCCCAAATCCCCTGAAACTGTATAAATTTTCACAAGTATATGGCATGTGTATCTTTCTGTGAAAAATGATCAGTATTCTCTATCAAATTCTCAATATAATCTATAAGCCTAATCAAAAAAGTAAAGAACTGCCTGCCAATGCAGTGGTATGCACCTGTAATGGTGGCTACTTGTGAAGCAAAGGAAAGATCACAAGTTCAAGTCCTGCCAGATTCTGTCTCAAAATAAAATCAAAGAAGCTGGCATGTAACTCAGTACTCCCTGGTTCACTCCACAGTCCTGCCAAAAAAATTTAAATATTTAAAAAAATAAAAGGATGGTATCTTCAGTCCCAGCGATAGTTTCTCCTTCCAGAAGGTAACCTTCTTAGTTCTGGCTTAACCCCTTAGCTCACCACTGTATGTGGGGCTCTAGAAAGAAAAGGAGGGTGTGGCTAGAAAGTAGGTCAGTGGTGAACTTGCACAGCATTGGATAAATTCAATCCTCGCTATCGAACCAAACGAACAAAACCAACATATCACCCACTACTCAGTGTTTTCATTTTGCTCACATGTGAGACTAGTAGAGTTTGGAACTCAGTTCCTGTCTTTTCCTAGATACTGCCTAGGGTACTGGATACTGGATACTAGATACTGCCTAGAGCAATGTTGAGACTCAATTCCAAGTTAAATGCAGCCAACAGGATTTAACAAGCCAGTCAACTGCCTTCCTCCCAAATTACCATAAAACATTCATAGAATGGCCTCTAAAACCTTGCCAGGAACATACCAAGATGTTACCACACATCCCACTGTGCTAATCATTTAAGGCAGGAATCATTAAAATTACTTGTTCCAGGTTGTAAGGTTGATGAAGTATGCCTCTGAATAGCAAAGCCTTCCTTCTAGGGGAAAAGGAAACACCCTAGACCACCAGAGTATGCAAAGGCTCTTTCCAATCATCCCACAGATCCCGCAGTTAGGTCACTGCTCAAGAAACGCCAAGGGCCGAAAGTGGGTAAAGGTGATCCACCCCTGCGTTAGGCACCGTTAGAAAGGGAAAAGGTGGGGCAGCCCTAAGGTTACAGTTAAGGCTGGGTCTTCGCCCGCCCAGATGCAGGCGTTAGGTTTCAAAGGACAAAGGTGTAGGGGATGGGCCTGGTCGCGGCGCTTTAAGTGGGGAGGCTCTGCTTATTTCTGAGAAGCCAGGCCACGTCTCGGGCACGAATCTACACACACTCCAGTCACGCAGGGCGCTAGGCCCCTTTAGCCCTTCTCTGAGCTACGAGCAGAAAACAACAGCCGCAGCCGACACACCTCCGTCTCCACACCCTGGCCCGGGCTGGAGGGCCACAGGCTGTCCCAGAGGATCGCGGCGCCGGCGGCTCTGCCCAGGCCCCCACACACACACTCACCAGCTTAGTGGCCCGGTATGGCCCGGGCCCTACCAGGCGGTGCTCCATGGCCGGCTCCCAGCCGCCCCTGTAACGGAGCCAGCGCTGGTAGCCACGGCAGGCAGCTTCCCAGTTTGAATCTGGAGCGTGCGGGCTCCTCACGCTGATTGGGCGGCGGCGGCGGCACATGACCGGAAATTCGACAGGTGGGCGGGCTCGACGTCTAGTGGGACAGCTCTGCGGCGAGGAGAAATTGGCTGGCCGCAGTCTGCGCGGGGCGCTGCAGACTCGAGGTGGGTGCGATGGGCTGTGACTGGGCGACTCGGTCCTGTTCTCCTCGGAGCTGCCAGGCACACTTCTTTTCTCAGACTCCCCTACGGCCCACCCACCCGCGACACACGCTATCTCTGTTAGCTAATGAAAGTGTGTAACCCAGTGACCGTAGTTAAGTCTCTATGGGCCACGCCTTGCGCATGGGGAACCTGGAGGTGCTGCTAGGATTGGGAGAAGTAGGTGCTAAAATGAAGCGAGTTGATGCCGGTACAAGTGGAGGGCCATTAAAAAACTAGATAAATGGACAGGGCCACAAGGAGTGTAAAGAGCAATGAAGAGCTGGCAAAGAGCTCCCATTCTGCCTCTGTTTTGTTCTCCTGACAGAGCGTTGTAGTATTTTCCCTTGATTTTGAGTCCTCTGGTTTGCATCGAGCTGGAAATTTTGGGTCATTAGCTGTCTTTCTCTGATCAGAACTAACTTCCTATGCCCTGCCTCCGAGAATTACTGGTACAGATTGCAACTGTTCAAAGAGACAAATGAGGTTAGCACTGTAGATAAGATAGAGACAGAGATATCTGTGTCTAGAGTTCAGAGTTCAAATCTAGTCATCTAAGTGAGTACTCAAGACACCAAGAGAAAAAGCTGAGTCAAGAATCACACTCTTGTCTTATCACATCCTCCAGCACCACTCTGCCTAAATTGCTGCCTTACGTGTGTGTGTGTGTGTGTGTGTGTGTGTGTGTGTGTTTAGCCTCATTTAGAAAACCTACAAATTTACAGGAAGGATACCTATGTAATCAGAAAAGGCAATAAAGATAATTTGTTTTAACCTCAAACTGTATCAAAAAGATGTGCTTGTTCTTGGCAAAAACTACCAATGGATATTTATGTTCTTGGCTGAAGAGACAGAAGGAGAAAAGGAATTTTATAGCTTTGTCAATCTGGAACTTTGCATAACTGACCATAGTGGCCGAACTGGAATGCAAGACATATCCACCATGAAATTATGCAGCTTATATTTACATAAACATTGTGCTGAAGTGTGGTAGCTCTGGATTTCAGTAATTACAGTTCTGACCAGCTGAGTAACTCCCTGATATAATGGAAATGTTGACGATTATCTTGCAGAGTTTGTAGGAATTTGAGGTGATGTATTAAAGTGCTAAATATAGTGCCCTTTATATAGCAACAATAAAACAAAATTTTGTGAATAATCATCCTGGCTTCTTAAGCATTTTCCCAGGAGTCCACTGTGAGCCATAGCTAATTCCCGCTCTTTCTGGGAAAGCATTATCTCCTCAAGATCTACATATCTCAGACCCAGGAAACAGTCTTTGTGAGTGTGTGTTGCTGATTACCTAACAAGACTTTCAGCATCACATAAAAACAGTTTAGAAACTCTCACCCTCTGCATGTCCCCCAAAAGTCAGTGCTTTCTTACCATTCTCACTATGCTTCAGAATAGGTGGCCTTCTTTCTGCTCCTAAGTTTGCTATTGGTTCCTCCCTTGCAGCCTGTGCACTGATTGACTGCCAGGAAGGCAGATTCTTGCCCCCAGTAATTTGTACAGCCTTTTCTATATCACAAGTCCTTTTCAACTCTAACCTAAAGCTTACTTGTAAATCTGAGTTCTAACCTACAGTCCTGGGCAGGGGGCATAACTCGGTGTTAGAGTATTAACTCTGCACACCTAAAACCTTGGTTTTCATCCCCAGAACCACACACACACACACACACACACACCTACAAACTGCCCAGCAAAGAAACCTCATATGGTGAAACACATCTGTACTAATTTATTATTTTCATAGCACTTACCTCTACTTAGCATTATTTACTTTTTATCTTCTACAACTACAATAGTGGTTATCCAATAAAAGAATAATAATGCTTCTTGAGAATTTTGGTCTTTGTAGGAATGTTTTCTGGCTTTCAAAAATATTGAAGGGCCTCTGCTGGTATTTTGTGGACAGAGGCCAAAGAAACTAATGCCCTTCAAATTTTAATTCAGACCATCCAACCAACAATCACTCCTGTTTAGTGACTCCTAAATGTGCAGGTAAGTGAAAGCTACATTTATAATTAGTTGGGCCTAGAACCTAAATGCATTTTGCATACAAATTTTAAACATTATGGACAGTTTTATTTCATATTAAAGTATCCACAAATATTATCCTCTGTTTTATTTAGGACTATACCAAAAGTTACCATGTCAGAAAGCATGGTAGCAATGGCAGCTTCTCTCTGTGGTGTTTGAGTATAGCTGTTGAATTCATGGAAATTGTACATATGGGTACTATATACCTATCTAGCTCGTACTTCAAAACATCAAGGAAAGAGAAATGACAATAATCAGGTTCTTTTATAGATAGATAAAAGTACTTGCCTATTTTATATCTTCCTGGCATAATCATGCTTAGATACATATGTCTATTTTTAAGTGAATATCACTTTATTATAAATTATTTTTTATTTCTCCCTATATTAAAGAACATTATGTTCTTTTAATTATGTGTAGGTTGGTTATCTGCAGATTTCATTTTAACTGTAGTTCAATTAACAACCATTGCTCTGTCCTACAATATAAACTCTATGAAAATCAACACCTTTGGTTCCCTACTGCACCTCACTAGAGTATCTAATACATAGAAGATACTCAACAAATGATGTATATTTGTTTCAATATTAAAATATTTTAAATTGCCTTTGAGTAAAACTTAAGTGCAAGGGAGAGTGTACAGTTTGCTCTGTCTTTCTATAATAGCACATACCTGTGGCTTTCTCCATAGGACCCCAGATGAATAAGCACAAAAAGAACCTGGTTGATTTGTTTTTGTCTAATAGGTTCACATATTAAACTGATTATCTATGTCTGTGATATATCTAGTGAGAATTTAGAATTGACCAAATTTGTGGCCAATCTCTAACAAGAATTTAAAAATGCAATGGTAAGTTATATTGTTTCTCCACTTTTATTTTCTATTTTGCTGTATGGTATTATATAAATGTTTCATAATTTACATCAAATTCTCTTTTAGAAAGAGACACATTTATTATAAGAAAGTATTACGCTCCACATTTTTCAAGCAGCTTTCAAATTTTTTCAAGTTATAGCATGTTGTTCATAATTGGATATGTAGATATGAGTGACTCTCGTACTGAGGAAGATAAGCTTCAGAGATGTCAAGCACCTTATTTAGGGTTCCACAGCTAATAATTACTAAAAGTTGGATCTGAACCTCTACTTTTTGCTATGAAATTCTGTGTACAGTGTTTGGTTTCATTTGATTGCTTGCTTTGATTAATTTTAGTAATACTTTAAAGTATAAAAATAGGTAATTTTCAAATATAAAACTGAATTTCACATATATTTATACAAAGACATTTCAGAACAGGGTAAAAGAGTAGATAGAAACATGTCTTAAATCTATGGATAACCCTAACCAGAAATGCAATTTACTAAAACTTCACAAAGTTGAGCTCTTTTTCAACTCCTTGGTTATACTTTGGCTTGATCTCATTATTATTTTTATATTAATTGGGATGGATTTTATATTAATTATTTAATCAGATTATTGTCCCCCCAGAAAGTTTAATTCCCAGCTATGCCTCAATGAGATTATTAAATTCATCTCCAGACTCTGAATATAGCAACTTTAATAAATTGCTGGGTCCATTTTTTCTGGCATATTTAAAAATGTGAGGCCGTCAGGATGCTACAGAAACTTTGACTCACTCTCCAAATATTATCATAGCATGAGTATTAGTACATTTAGAACTGGCTGTTTCATCATCGTGGCCTAATTGTCAATGACATTAAGAAATTGCATGCTGTGGATCAGAAAGCAGTTGGCCTAAAGTACACTGTTGAGTTAGGTGTTGTGTTGCCCAATTACACTGAGCAGGGAGTGTCTGAGAACTGCCTTCACTCCCAGAGTGTTACTGTCACACACTTCCCTGCTGCTATCTCAGGTCTGCCAGCTGGTCAGATGGGTTATTTTGAAAGAACAACTCAGTTGAAACCCAAGTCACACACTGTTTACATTAGGTTTGAGCTCTACAAACTGCACTGTAATGTCATTCCATCCTGATTTTGGTATGTAAACTATCAAGAAAGACCCATCTGCTGAGGTTCTTAAAAGTTTGTAAAACTGAGTTGTCTTCTGCTACCATTGATCTGCATTTGCTATCACCCCATTTGGAAATGTTCCCCTAAAATTTGGGTTACCTTATTCAATAGAAGAAAGGATAAAGATGTATGGAATAAAACTGTACTGTTTCATTACTGTAACTACTAAATATTATTTTTACTTCAGCATTTAAAAAACTAAATGCCAGCCGGGCGTGGTAGCTCACGCCTGTAATCCCAGCTCTCAGAAGGCTAAGGCAGGAGGATCATTGCAAATTCAAGACTAGCCTGGGCTACAAAGTGAGTTCAAGGCCAGCCTGAACTGCATAGAGACCCTGTTTCAAAAAGACAAAAGATTAAAAAATAAATGCCATGAAGCAATAGAGGATCTAGTCACTGATTCAGCAGGTATGCTGTGAGCACTTCTTTGTGCCAGGCACTGTTCTAACTTAGTGTGGTAATAATGCAATAGATAACACAAAGCCTCTCTTTCCAGGGGCTGACATCCTAAGTGTAAGAGATGATAAGCCAATTATAATACATAAAAATGTATGTAACACATCAGTGCTGAAAAGAATAGTAGAAGACTGAAGGGAGAGGCTGAGAAGAGAAATGCTGATAGGATGATGATGATGATGATGATGATGATGATGATGATAGAGATTACTAGGAACTGGCTCCTATAAATATGGAGGTTAAAATTCCCATCCATGTTCTATATGTGAAAAACTGAAAACCCAGAGAAATTCATGATGTAGTTGTAATCACAGTCCAAAGACCTGAGAACTACAGCTGATGATATTGGTCCAATGTGAAAGGCAACAAGTTCAAGACCAGAAAGAGCCTGTGTGTCAATTTAAATCCAAAGGCAAGGAAAAAAAAACAGTGTCCCAGTTTAAAGGCAGCCAGGCAGGAATCATTCCCAATTATCCAGGGAGGGTCAGCCTTCTCTTTCATTCAGGCCTTGAATGAGGCCTGTTATGGTTTGTGTCTAAATGTTCCCTCAAAGCCTTATGCATTTTCAGGTGGGGCTTCTTTGGAGGCAGCTGAATCTAGAGTTTGTGATTGATTCATGGTACAATGCTGGGATTAAGGCCGATGGGACTAAAGGTAGGTGATTGCTAAATCAGTCCAGTAATTGGATTGGTGCCACCCTAATCCCAGAAGTCTGGATAAGATAAATGGGCAGAAGAGGCTTGCTTCTCACCTTCCCTTGCTTGTTTTTGCTGTCTTCTGCTGCCTTGAACTGTTTCTCCTCTGTGGTGCCCCTCTGCCATGCCAAACTACCTTTTAGCCAACTGACTATGAACTGTAACCTCTATAAACTATAAGCTACAACAAACCTTTTCCCATTAGCTTTGGGAGCCAGATATTTTATCTCAGCAAGAGAAAAGTAACTAAGACGAGGCTCATCTATGTTGAGGAGAATAATCTCCTTTACCCAGTATATCAGTTTAAATACTAAACTCATCAAAAATACCCTTGTAGATAAAGATAATCAACAGTTAAGAGGTAATCTGTAGAAAAGGAGAAAATATTTGTAAACTGTCCATCTGACAAGGAATTAATATACAGAATACATGAGGACTTAACAATAAAACAACAACAAAACAAAATTAAAGACAAATAATCCACTTGAAAACCTAACCAATGATCTACATAGACATTTCTTAAAAGAAAATATACAAGTAGCCAACAAATACAATGAAAAAACGTTCACTATGACTAATAGAAAAATACAAGTGAAAAGCACTATGAGATATCACTTCACTGCAGTTAGAATGGCTATCATCAAAAAGATAAGAAATAATACTGGCAACTACAGAAAAAGGGGAACTCTCACATGCTGTTGATGGGAATAGAAATTAGTACAACCATTATGGAAAGAAGTATAGGAGTTCCTCAAAACAACTAGAAACAGGACAGACACAACAATGCACACCTGCAGTCCCAGCTACTTGGGAGACAGAGACAGAAGGATCACTTGAACACACAAGTTCAAGACCAGCCCTGGGAAACATAGAAAGACTATGTTTTAAGAAGTATGAGGAGATGAGGAGGAGGGAAAGAGGAGAGGAGAAGAAGTAAGAGGAGAAAGGAGAAAACAGAAGGAAAAGAAGAGAAAATTAGAAATAGCTGCATAATATAGCAATCTCACAACGAGATACATATCCAAAGGAATTGAAATCAAGATAATGGAAACCAAATAATTTGTTCTGAGACCCAAAAATTACACTTATGAGTTCATTTTTCTGCAACTTTAATGAAATTCCCAATACTTTCTATCTTCTACTTTATTGTGGTTCTCATAGTTTTCCTCCTTGCTTTGCTGCTGGGTATCACTAACTTTCTTTGGAGCTGTAGTCACAATATTTTATGCAAATAAAGAGGAAGAAAAAGCTCAGTGATGCATGTTGTGATGCATTCACAGGCACTAGATGCCGTCTGCATAAGAGCATCGCTTAGACTGATGTTCACACCTTTGTGTCTGCAGCAGCAGGCCACGTGTGACTGACTACTCAGCCTGGAGTTTTTTCAAGTTAAATTTTCTACTCAACTATTGAGCAAACTTATGGACATCACACAGATATTTTTCAAAGTTTGCTGTACAAGTAGTATAAAGTTCAAGCTTTGAAGTATTTGGGAACTATAATTAGACTTCATGAAAATTCTACAACTAAAATCATAACTAATGAGAAAAGATTGAGTGCTTTCTAAAGTCACCATGAAAGCGAACACATCTGTTCTCATGATTCTTTTTCTTTTCATTTTTTACAATGTGATTGCACCTAGCACCTTTTGCATGCTAAGCACATGCTCTACCACAGAGCTATGCCTCAACTATTTGTATTCAACATTGTGACAAACGTTACAGCCAGAGCAGGAACACAAAAATTTGTTTCCAGATTAGAAATAATGCCATTTTTATTTGTAGACAACACAATTGCCTATGTAAAAATCCTATGATGTCCATAAAATAACTACAAGAACTAGTAAAGTTTTACAAGGCTGCAGGATATAAGATCAAAAAGTATAAATCAACTCTACTTCCTAAAACTATCAATAAACAATCAGAAACTGAATTTTTAAAATGTCATTTTCAATAGTTTAAAAACTAACAATATCTATTGATAAAAATTCATGAAAATGTCTAAATGTACACTAAAATTATAAAACAATGCTGAGAAAATTTTAAGACAAAAATAAATAAATAAGAAATGTCCATATATTAGAAGATTCATGTAAAAAACATGTCATTTCTCAAAAATTGACTTATTGATTCTATGTAATCTCAGTCAAAATCTAATCAGGCTTTTTTAGAAAATGATAAACTAACACTAGAACTTACAAGGAAATGCAAAAGACCTAGAATAACCAAAACAACTTTGAAAAGGATAAAATTGGAGAATTATCAGATTTCAAGGTTTATTATAAAATCAGGGAGTCAGGAGAATGTGATATTGATGTAAAGATAGACAAATAAGATACTGGAAGAGAAACTGTCCAAATACCAAAGTATTATATTCCCAACATTCATTTGTCAGTAATTTTTTGAATTTAGAACACATGCTTTCTATAAAATCTGAAAATATCAGCCATTACTGAAAGATTATTAATACCCCCAACAAAAAGTCTGTTGAGTTGCTGATATTATGATTGACTATCATTACCACAATGAACTGTTTTGTAGTCTCCTTTGGCCACAGCTAGTCATAGAGCTCTGTATCTTCTTCCCCAGCACCACCTACTAGGAAATGAGAGGAGAGATTCTCCCCACTGTGTACAACTGTAGGTCATCTCTGTGGCCAAGAACAGGGACTGCACAAATGGAGGGCTGAGGGCTATCTCAAGAACCTTAAACTACATTTTTCTTTCTGAATGTGAAGACTCCAAGAATGTTACTTTTCTTATTCACCCTATCTCTGTTACTCATATCTTCACGAGGAGAAACTTCTGAGCCGTGGTTCTCAAATTTGCACATTGGAATCATTAGAGGAGTTTCAGACCTACTCGTGCCTGCCTTCCACCTCCACAGATCGTGATCTAATTATTTTGGAGCATGAGTTCATTATTCTGGGGTGCATCAGATCCCCAAGCAATTGCGATATACTATCAAGACCTACTGTTCTAAGGGGATATTTCTGGACCTGCAACTTTTCTAACTAGGGAGTTTCAGAAGTAAAAGTAGGAAGCCATGGCTCAGAGCCTTCTGGGTTCTCTGTGAGATCTTCCTGCCAGCAGAGTCTACCAGTTTTTCTTCCAAGATTCTGAGCCATAGATTTTATATGCATAGGATTGTGCAAAAGCAGAAGAAGCAGGAAGTGGGGGAAGTCTTTGTTGTCCAGGCATGACTATGACAAAGTCAATTTGCTTAACTTAGGTAAGAGGAAGTGTCGGGAGAAGGATGTAATCATTAAACTAAAGCCATCTTGTCCTAACGCTTACTTGCTCAACTTTTTAATTTGGAAAATCTCAAACCTACAAAGAGTTCAAAGAATAATCCAATGAGACATTATTTTTTCCCTCCTCTCCTTCACATGCACATACTACTCCCTCTGTTTTTGCTTTGGTTTTTGGTTTGGCTGAAACCCTGTCTCAACAGATATCTCCGAAGAACAAGGGCACTTTTCTACTTAACCACAACACCATTCTTACATTTACAGTTTAACATCCATACAGTAATTGTTACTTAAGGCTAAAGGTGTAGCTCAGTAGTAGAGCACTTGCCTAACATGCTCCAGGCATTGGATTTAACCCCCAGTACTGCACACCAACAAAATAAATCAATAATAATACCTAACATATTGTCTATATTTAAATTTTTCCAATTTACCTTGGAAGTTTACCTTATAGTTATTGCAAGGATTACACCCTGCATTTTTTTATCTGGTTTCCTTATTCCCCATAATCTTGACCCTCCTTTTCACTAGATGTAGTTAGGGTTCTCTAGAGGAAGGGAATCCATAGAAAAAAATATGTGTACTTGTGCAAATGAATTTATTAGGTAGCTTGCAGAACAAGAGGTGTGAGAATGCACGGTTACCGTCTACATTCTGAAGAGCTGGAGGGTCTGATAGTTGTTCTGTCCAAGAAGCCAAAAGCTACAGAACAAGAGGGATCAAGGATGCAGCTCCAGTGGAGACGGGGGGCCTGGCATCTCACTGAAGAGTTGTTGATCCAAGCCTCTGCTGAAGGCTGGAGAAATTGAAGACCTGGAGACCGGTGTCCAAATTGACAGCAGCAGAGGCCACACTGCCTCAGGAAAATGAAAATGCTGCAAACCAGGCACACTTCTTCTTTCTTCTTTCCCTTTTTATTCCATCTAGGCTACAGCCTCTATGTTGGTGCCAGCCACAACTGGGGTGAATCATCCTCTCTCAGTTTGCTGACATACATGTCAGTCAGCCACAGAAACACCCACAAGTGTGCTTTGCTAATCTGCTAGATATTTCTTAATCCATTCAAATTAACATATCAAAATTAATACTCAAACTAGACTTCAACAAATTGAGAAATTCAGCCTGTCTGTACATAAAACACCTCATAATTATGTTTCCTTATGGGTAGATTCATGTTAAACATTCAGCAAGAGTACTACGCTAGTGTCAGTTTAGTCACTATCTCTGATGTTAAATTTAATCCCTTGGTTAGAGTGGTGCCCCTCAGGTCTCTCCATTGTGAAGACACCTCTTTCTATACAGAACTGAGTGACAGAGTGATACTGTGAGTGCATATAAGTATCTTGTTCCTCAGTGAATTCTCATCCAATGATTTTTGATAACCCTCATATGAATTAATTAGTTCATCGGTGGTTGTAAATACTGATTTTCTGATTACTGCTTCTATGTTTTTAGACAGGCATTCTCTGTTATGCAGAGGTTTCTTTCCCTGGCCTCCAATGCATGTTTTCTGAATATCATTATCACTCCTGGATTACTTGTGTATTTAATGAATTATGATCCATTGCTATCATTTTTCTTTCTGAAACTAGTTCTTGTAGCTTTTTGCTATATCCCCATTGGTCTTTGAGTAGTCCTCATTTTGGCAATAACAATTTTGAAGCTCAAAACCTGGAATCAAAGATGTATCTCTAAGATGCCCCAACTATT